CAGACTGGGCTGGCTGGTTTTGATAGATGCCTGAGTCCTTTGCCAGCAACTTTTGACTTTTTGACAAGGACTAGTCCATGAAAGTGACCGAACCAGGGAGAGACCAGAGATGGTTGTTCTTCTCGACCCCATGTGCCTTCCTCTTTGAGGCAGGGCAGAGCATTTTGCACAGCAGGAGCTGCTGGTCTCCATGCAGCAGCCTGAGCCCCGGGCCTGAGAACAGCAGCATGGCCCATGCTTAGCTCTTCCATTAGCAGCCACTGCTGGAAAGACACTGACTGGGGTTGGAGTTGTACCCGATGCCCCACCCCCACCACATCTATTCAGCACACACTGAGCAGGATATGCTACCAGGTCCATGGAGAGGAAACAAACCAACCACAATAGAAAGACATGATCGATCCCTCAGCTCGAGGGACAAATCTGGGAGCTAAGAAAGAGCAGTAGTGAGAATCATGGATGCTTTTCTTCTAGAAGGTTGAGTTGGCCCGTGAAGCTGGAATATATACCCCTCCTCTGTGTCTCATTAGAGCCAGGCCCTATTGCCAGTTGTGCCTCCTGTTTTCCTCCTCTGGGAATTTGAACATAATGTCTTCCTTTTCACAAATCAGAAAGCCAATTTACTTTCAGTAATTTCTGATTTTTCTTTTTCTCTTTAGATTTGTCTTCAGCGAAGCGGAAGTTTGCAGATTCCTTAAATGAATTTAAATTTCAGTGCATAGGCGATGCAGAAACAGATGATGAGATGTGTATAGGTAAGTCAAAACAACATTCATTGTTTGTCCTAGCGTTTAACATCCTAGCAAAGCCTTTCTCATGGGATGGGAACTCTCTAAGGTTAGTAAAGATGGACGTCCACAGTGGTAGTGAAGAGGCAGAGCTATGTGAGGATGGGGCTGCTCTGGTCTCCCTGAGCTCTGGTGTTGCCTTCCTCACCCTCTGGCATGCCGGAGAAAGCTTGAAGTTGTGAGGTAGGGCTCTCCTCTCCACCTGCCTTTAGTGCTCTTCTTCTGACTGGATTTGCAACATCCTTCCCCACCAACCACAATCCTAACAGCTTTGAACTAAAGTAGAACACAGGTAGCTGAGGAGAGAATTATATCAGAGGTTGCAAACTGGAAGCTCCTAGGCTGAGATCAGAATGCAGCCCTGTTTTGTTTGGCTCTCATTTTAAAAATTGAATTGCCATATAAATAAATTTATCTGAGGTTCCAGTTTTCCAGCTTGTTTTGAAGTTCAAGACTCTATTCTGTTACCCCACTTTCTGGCCTGGCAACAGCTGACTGAGCTTTGTTGCTGCCACTGCCTCGAGAGAGTTTGAGGAGCTCACTGTTAGGTCCACCTTGGCCCTGCCTCTCCCTTTGTTTCCTTAGCAAGAGGCTGAGATGGGTCGCTGTTGATGCCCACACTGAGTTGTGCCACTCTTCATACCTGCCTCCGTCTGTAGGTGGCCCTGAGCACCAAGGATTTACCAGTATCTTGTCATTGTACCTTGTTTTTCATGCATTGGGCATCTCAGTTGACTTCATTAAATGAGCAAGAATTGAGAAAGTTTTATTGAATTAATTAATTCCTCAAAGGCTTATCGTGTTCCTGCTGCAACATAGAGCACCAGGATCTAGGGGTGAGCACAGGCAATTGGGAGCCAGCTGAGAGCAGGGAAGACATTTCCCTGTAGCTCATGAATGTGTGGATGCTTTTTCCAGAGTCTTAGGAGTCCCGAGTATCCTCAGGACTGTTGCACTTAATGTTTATGGCCTTTGTGAATAATTCAGGAAAGGCAACTGCCTGCACCTGGGTGCCATACTGCGAGCTGCATTCTATTAACAGTGGCCTTAGGAATCAAAGAGGAGGAGCCCAAGAAGAGGCCAAAGATGTGGTCCCCAACACCAGCAGCACTATTTGTTTAGTTCTGGCGCCAAAGAAAAGGCTGGGTTCTGATGCAACCCTATGACAAAGGTTGAGAAGGTTGAATCCTGGGTAGGAAATCCTTCAGCTCTTGAGTGGAACTCTACCCCTTCCAGTCCGTGGCTTGGGAACCTGCCAGCATCTCACCAATCCTGGGTACTCTCAGAACCGGCAGGCCTTTGCCTTGAAGAAATCCTTTGCTAGCTAGCATGCCAGGTGGAATTAACCTGCATTTCTGGGTCATCCTTAATGGTTAGTGATTAAAAGATAAAGGGAGCCTTGGGAAGCAATTGACTTTAGGCGTCTGCATGTGCCAGGGAATTTAAGTCCATACATAATCATCAGACCTGGAAAGGCTCCCCAATCACTATCCCCCTACCTCATGTCCCCTTTCTCTTTTCTAGCAAAGTCTTTGCAGGAGTTTGCCACTGTCCTCAGGAATCTTGAAGATGAACGGATACGGATGGTGAGTATGTCGAGGGAGTGAGGAATTTGTTATCAGAACTGGGTTCAAGTCCAGACTATGCCGCTTGAGTGCTTTGAGCTTTTGCGCAAGCCTCATATTTGTAGGCTTTGAAGCCTTTTGTACATGACAAAGGATTGCCCTGGTGGATAACTTTAGAACGACATCGTTGTTTCTCTAAAGATTCACTGTAAGGTCTGTAGGTAAGGGTAGATCTTTTGAGTTATTTCACTTTTGGGGACCTTAGATTCTCTACCAGCAGAATGGGAAAGAAGGTGCCCTACTCTGCTCCTTCCTTCTTCCACTTTATTAAGCCTGTTCAAGAGCCCTCTGAGGGCAGGGCTTCTTCTTCACTTTTAATTCTTACGCACCTAATATGGCGCCTGCTACATAGAAGGCACCCAGTAAATAAGCACTTAGTAAATGAAGGTAACTGTGAGAAGCTTTTCAGAGAGAGGCACTATGCAAATATAAGAATCAAATAGTGATCTCCGGGTTTTTGTGCTAGGATATTCTGGGTGTGAAGAAATGAGAGATTGTCTATCTACAGGAAGCTCCTTTGCATATTCCCCCCGGACTCCTCAGATCCCAGGAGTGAACCTTGGTTTGAGATGCCCAGTTGGCTGCACACTGGCTTGCTCCTGGGAGGGCCTGTCTCTGTGCAACAGCAATACCTCAGGTAGATTCCACCAGGGAGCATTTTCTTCTCTTCCCCTACTGACAGTTGATGGTTTGAGCACTGCATTTACCAAGACAGTATGTAGTCAAGTACTTCGTGTGCATTTTCTATGTTAACTCTCATGATGATGCTGTGAAGTGGTGTCTGTATTATTTCCATTTTCCAGATGGAGATATTGAGGTTTACAGAGGTTAAGTAGCTTGTCCAGGATCACACAGTTAAGAAGTGATATTAACTATCTCTGGGTTCAAACCCGAGTCTACATTATACCAGAAAATGTGGGCATTTCTTCAAAATGCCAAACACAGCAGAAGACTCTTGCCTTCTGCCCTGCAGAGAGAGATTCTACTTCTCCTAATTGCCCACGGCTGGTGCTTGAACCAGGATCAAGAGAGTGGTGGCGGCAGCAGCAGGGTGGGTGGTGGGTGGAAGCAGCAGAAAGCTTGTGTGTTTGTGCACGTGCTGGTGCCTGAGAAAGGGAAATGGTTCTTTTGAGTCTGATTCTTGGCTGTGTTCATATTTGGGGGTGGGGGGTGTGGTGAACAGATCACCATGAATACCCTGCAGATTGCTATGGCCTGTGGTAAGGGAACAATGACTGGATTATACTTTCAGCTTGGCTCTGCAATTTTATTATTAATGTCAGTGAATTGAGTTTCTACGTCTGCATCTGAGTATCTAGGCTTCGCAAGTCCCCTCTCTGCCTCCTTGCCCTGTGACAGCCTCATCAGTTCGGCTCAGCTCAGCAAAGCTGCACCTTCTTTGGAAAGCGTCCCTGACTCCCTGGGTTACTTGGCCACCCTTTGTATTTTCTTAACAGCTAGTCCAGCTTCCAATTCTACATGTACCACTTTGTGTCCTGTTAATTGCTGTACTACACAGTAAAATGAATTCCTCAAGGGCGGGGAACAGGCTGCTGTGTCCCCAACATTGAGCAGAGTGTTGGAATTGAGTGAAGTGATAGTCACAGACTCAGACCCAGTGGGACTCTATTCCTCATCATCTGCAATTCCTCATTTGACAGGGGAGAAAACTGGTCTTGGCAAGGCTGATAGTAAGCAGTAGTAGGATTGGGACAAGGACTTGGGTGTCCTGATCCTCAGCTGAACAGTTGAGTGTTTTTGTATTTTAAGCATCTGTCTTGGACTGGATTCTCAGTCATGGATGCCCACTGGAATAACTTGGGGAGTTTAAAAACTAAGTCCAGAGATTCTGAGTTAATCAGTTTGGAGTGTGGCCTTGATACTGGATTTTTTTTTCTTCTTTGAGTTGCATTCTCACTCTGTTGCCCAGGCTAGAGTGCACTGGCATGCTCACAGCCACTGCAGCCTCAACCTACTGGGCTTAGGTGATCTTCTGCCTCAGGCTTCCAAGTAGCTGGAACTACAGGCACGCGCCACCATGCCTGGCTAATTTTTTGATTTATTATAGAGGTGAGGTCTTGCCAAATTGCCCAGACTTGTCTCGAACCCGTGGCCACAGGCAATCCTCTCACCTTGACCTCCCAAAGTGCTGGGATTACAGGCTTGAGCCACCACACCTAACTGACACTGGGGTTTTTAAAAGCTTCCCAGTCTCACTGTGCAGATAGGGTCAAGAACCACGTATCTGGGGCTTGGCACACTTTTCTGAGCTTCAGAGACTTGCGTGTGATTTATGGAAAAGATGTAAACAAATGAACTGATTAAGCAATATCAAATGATGATAAAAGCCAAACAAGTGAAATAACATGGCAAAATTCCAGTGTTAAAATACACCCTTCTAAAATAAGTAATCTCAAAATTGAGAAAACAGCAAATGGGAATAAATGTGGAAAGTTGACTTCTTCTGTCCCCCATGTTGTCCAGTCAGTTCTTTATTGCCCCCTTCTGTGGCTTCTGGCATTTACTGTTAGCTTCATTGTGATGGACATGCATGTGATTTAGAAAAAATAATGCTTTGTTGCAATGAGATTCCCGAAATAATTAGTTGAGCAAAGAATGACAAATGAATGGCTTAAAAGGAAAGACTGTAAAATATTGTATTTCCTTAGAAAAGACCAAAGAATCTTAGAGCTGCAACAATCAATCGCTCTTATTTTGTAGATGACGAAATTAGGGCCCAGAGAGGTTAAATGTTCTGCCCATGGTCACACAGTTGGCATCCAATCAAGAAATAATCCATTCATTCATTTAGTCATTCAAAAATGTTTGAGTACTCCTTTGTTTCAGCACTCTTTGGGGATAGTGGTAGAAAAGTAAGCATTTATCAGCTAGTGATGTAGCTACGTATGCATGTGTGTGTCTGTGTATGTGTCTGAATAAATGTGTGGGGTGATGAACTAGAAAACTTCAGCTGGTGTACATGTTCTCAACAAAACTCTGAGGGGGGGCTAGTTGGGTTACACTGGTTGTCAGGGAATGCCTCCCTAGGGGGGTGACCTGGAAACTGAAGCCTTAATAATTGCAACATGGAGTCACTTCTGTTTGAGAACAGAGTGTTTAAGGGAATAGCCAAGTGCAAAGGCCCTGAGGTAGGATGAGTTTGGTATGTGTGAGATGCCATGGGGTGATGGTAGGCTGGAATACAGGACCTGAGGGGTGAGCCCTGTGAAGCAGAGAGGCAGCCAGTGGTCAGGAGGCACAGATGCCTTGGCCTCAGTCCATCCCAGTTCTGGTAAGGCAACACAAAATCAGGCTTGAAAGGTTCTCACACCACCAGATGTCCAGAGGTGTTTTGTATTTTATTTTGACATAGACTCAGTATTGATTTACTTTACCTATAATTTGAGTGATGGGCATTTATAAGATGCTCAGTTTTCACCTGAAGCTTGAAACTTAATCCCTGCTCTGTAGGCAATTCTATTCTATCTTCAGGTGGTTGCTTAGTTTTAGAGGTCCTCATTTTTACTTTTTAGAATCAATATCAATCACGAACAGGAAGAATATTATGTTTTGAACTGATAACTATGTTTTAGATTGACGTGCTGTTAGTTTCAGTGTTGTGAACAGTTGATACACACCATATTGCTTACTAGAATTTTATTCTCAGTCGTGGGGAGGCAGCTCATGACGGAGCTGCGATAGTATTTCACTGATCTTGAGTTTATGTCTTTTTTCCCCTCCTCTGTTTTTCTTCACCAGATTGAGAATGCCAGCGAGGTGCTCATCACTCCCTTAGAGAAGTTTCGAAAGGAGCAGATTGGAGCGGCCAAGGTGAGAATTTTGTGAGCCTTATTCTTGGATTTTAAGGTGGGAGGTCTGGAAAACCCAACACTTTCTTTAGAAAATCTTTAGGAAAATCAAAGCTCACCTAATTCAGAACATCATTTTAGGAAGAGAAGCTCAGAGCCTGACTCATCAGTTCTTTACAGGTGACTGAAGTACAACTGTCTGAGTGGTCACCCAGAGCAGCCATTCTAGCATTTTATCTTATTGTTTTGTGCTAGCTCACAAGTCATCCAAGGGTAGAAGAAACCATACCTTCTTTGTGTTAGCAGAATCTGTGTGCTTGAACAGTTGACTGTGTTGGACTACACATTTGTTGCTTTTGTGGAGTGGTATTTATTGTGGAGATTTAGGACTCACTGTAGGCATGGGGACCCTGTTTCAAGGTAGACGGCTGGTACTTAGATTTTGCTGATTGATTTATTGTATGTGGAAATAGGCCCTCTCTTGCCAGTTCCTTAAATTTTTAAGAGAAACTGAAACTCCAGTGTTAGATGAAGTGTTGTCAAATAACTTAAGAAAATATATTATATATTATGCAGGTTAAAAAACCGCATCTGCAGGTCTGCTTCAACCCAGAGGTCACCATTTGTTATCACTGACCTGGAGGGACTGGAGTTAAAACTTGGCTAATTCTAATGTGTTCTTGAAAGCCTGCTCATTTTTAAAAGGTGAATTCTCCAGGGTTCCCCTGCCCTGTGATAAGTCACTAGGAAACTCTAGCTGGTTTGACCTTCAGTAAAGCATTAGAGGCCACCTACATGGGGGATGTTTTCATTGGAATCAATTTGCAATATTTTCTTCCTGTTTTTCTAAAACTGCAAGTCATGTCGTCAGCTGCAGTCCTTGTGTCACCTGCAGGGGGTTTGATTAACCTCACCCTCTTACATGTAAGTACAGTATGCATTTTACTCAGTTGCCAAGTGAAGTATTCCTCCTCCACCCACTGCCCCAACACACATGCATATATGCCCCTACCTAAGTACATCTGCTTTCTGGAAATAGATATGATTAGGGCCTGAAAAAGATAATGTTAAGTCTAGGTCTTTCAGAGGGATCGCTGGCCATCATTTGAAGGAGGGACCATGGCAAATCTTTTTCTCCCAGTTTTGCAACACTTTTCGACTAATTTTAGTGCACACATTTGTGAAGAAGTGGGAGTTCATTGGTTATTATCAGAGATTAAGGAATGTATAAATTGAAGAAAGTCTTGTCCAACTAAGATTTTGTCCAAGACTTAGAATAGCCCAGTGATGACTAAGAATACGTTGTGCATGCTGGCAGGCCTTCCCACAGAGGCCCCGGGACCTGTGTTTCCTCCTCCTGCGCCTGCTGGCAGTGGCTTCCAGAGTTAGAAAGAGGTTTGAGGCAGAGGCAGAGGCAGAGCAGACCTGTTTACTGAATCACCTTTTCAGTAGTTACTTCTTAGCATAGATGCCTCTCACTTGGGCCTCTTCCCTCATTCTGGTCCTGGGCTTACCACAGTTACCACAGAAGAGAAGCAGCAGTCAGAGGGCTCCCTTTGCTTTGAGAATCAGTGAGCTTAGTGATAGGAGTAGGTGCTTTTTCTCAGGGGATTTTAGATAGTAAATCATATAAGAGTAAAAAAATTTAAATAAAATAGTTACTCACCAAAGCATATTTCCCTTTATACATACTCTTCTCTCATTCATTAAGTTGTTAATTATTAAATAACTTTTTGATAATTATTAGTCATTAAAGGATTTGTTGACATTTGGGATGATTCTCATTTCTCCCTTTTTCTCATTTTTTCCCTGGTATACCCTCCCCACTTCCTGCACACCTGCACTTTATGTCATAGCATTATGAAAATTTAAGAGAAAGAAAACAGACAGCAAACCCCCTGCTAGGCTATCTAGGGAGTGGTCTCAAGCATACCTAGGAGCCAGCAAGTGCTCTTTGCTGGTTTGGGGAGTGGCCAAATGGAGGTTCTGAACTGCCTGTGTGATGCTAAAATTACTCCTCCTTCCTCCTCCACGTTCTGGTGCTGCTTCAGTTGCTATAACAACCTGTTGCAGAGTGCTCAGTATGAAGGCTGCCAGGAGGAGGACTCTTGGGCATTTCTTGTAATGTGGGTGCTCCGAAGTGACCCTGGAACTTGACAGAGCCATGACTCTAAGTTTAGATTTCTGAGTTTGGCAAAGTTGACCTTTCCTGTGTCAGGCACCTTTGAGTCCTGGGTTTTAGTATGAAATTACAACAGACTTAACAGAGTAGTGTTAAGAGAGGGTCTAGAGTTATACTGCTTATGTACAAATCTCACTTCTGCCATTTGCATGTAAATTTAGGGAGGTTACTGAACTTCTCCATGCCTGTTTCCTGATCTGTAAAATGGGGATATTAATAGAGTTTACTGCATAGTTATCATGATAAAAAAAATGTGATTTTATACAAGTGCTTAAACAGTGTTTGTCCTATAGCTATTTGAATATGAGAACAGTGTGTGTCATATAGTCGTTCGATGTTAGCTGTTATGTTAGATGCACGCAGTTCATTCATTAAACAACGATGTGCTGGCTTGCTCTTGTGCCAGCGCTGTGCTGTGTGCTGGCATTTGGTCAAGAACAAGGCGGAACAAGACTGGGGAAAGGCCATTAGACAAAAGGATGTGAACTATAACTTCGAATTGTGGTAGGTGCTTAGAAGGGTTACCTTTGTGGCACATGGGATGTGGAAAGCAAGTGGTGTTCTTGACAAGAGGAGGTAGGATTAGGTGATTAGTTTATCACAACATTACTGACATGTCTTGAGCACTTCCCATGTGACAGGCACTCCTCTAAACACTGCATGTGCTTTATCTCGTTTGATCCTAACAATCTTATGAGCAGGAGGGTATTTTTATTTTGTTATACAATCTTTGAGCTGAAAGAGGAAGCCTGAACAATGATCTCATCTAGTCATCCTCAGTTTATAGATGAGGAAATTGAGTCCTGGAGAGGGTGGTGATTTGTTTCGAGTCAGTTCATACGGAGTTGGGAATAAGGTCCAGACTTCTAGCTCTGTTCTTCATCTTCTTAACCACTCCACAGTGGACTCTCTGGAAGATGAAAACCATCTTGTGTCCTGGGTAACTCTGGGTAACACCACCCTCCCATCTTAAGGGCATTATCTGAATCATTGTGGAGTTTTCCTCCAGAGGTCTTGTTGCGGTTTCCCTTCCTCTTTACTCTCTTCTTTAACTTTGGCTGCCCTCTGGAACATGGAATGTGGGGTGCAAGTTGCCAGAAAGTCACAGAATGCCAGTGACTCATGTTCCCTGGCCTTTCCTCACCTCTGGCCAGCTGGTCTATCCCGGCACCAGGGCTCTCTGTTTCATGGTTGCTGATAAGGGTGGCAGGAGTGGGTAGATGTGAGCTGTGGTTGGAGTTGGAGCCCCAGCTCAAAGTGGTCGATGAAGGAAAAAATTGCTTGAGTCTTGTCTCTGGCCTGCACCCTCATCAGATTTGAAGGCATGATATTTCCTCAGGCTTTTTTATTCTTTGCTTCTGCACACTTCATTGTTTTTGTATGTGAGCGGTCTTTTACATAAAACTCAGATTTGTAGAAATGGATCCATGTCAGTTAAAATGAGTATTTGGTGGCTCTGCCTATTCTGTGAGGTATATTCCTGACAAATAGTGTCCTGACATCCTGATACCATGGGGGCTTGTCAGGGCTCCAGATGGCAGCTTTTTCTGCCCAGAGTGTCCTGCCCCAGGGCATTTGCATGTAGCTATTCTCTTGCTCTAGAGGGCTTACTCTGCCCCTTTCCATATTTAGCAGGTCTTAGCTTATCTCTCCCCTCCCCAAATGATGCTTTTCCTGAGGGCCCTGTCGAAAGAATCTCTTTGATCACATCCTGTTAATTTCCTCTGTAGCACTTGCAGCAGTCTGTCATTTTGCAGATTATTTGTTTACCAGTAAAATGTATTTCTCTTTGTACTAGAACATTCCTACCATGAGGATATGGACCATTTTTGTTTTATATTTCAAGTGCCTGAAGTAGAACCTGACACAGAGTGGTTGCTCATTATAGGTTTGTTAAATGAATAGAGAGATATGTCTGAGCTTCCTTATACTGGGCAGGCAATTTCCCCCCCCCCCTTCTTCTAGGCCTTGGAATTGCAGAAAAATAACCCTGTGGGTTCCATGTGAGTCAAAAGTGGGAATGATGCATCCAGTTAGTAAATCTGATCCTGTTTATCAGCCCACTACCTTCTTCCAGCCCCTTTGCTTGCCATCCCCATTGGAATGTGGAAGGAAGAGAGACTGCTTATGACAGTCTTTCTCAAGTGTGGGGGAACATGGACTTTGGAGGTAGATTATCCTGGGCTCAGATCCCAGCTCTGTCACTCTCTGTGACTTTTTATAAGTTAACCTCCCTGGGTCCAAGTTTTCTTATTTGTCAAGTGGGGAATAAAAATAGAAGCTAAGTGACTCAGTGACTTGGTGGGAGAGCAGGGATTAATATGTTTATTATTATAATTACTTTTCTTTCTTTTTTTTTGAGTTAACAGGGGGTGGGGTGTCTTAGTTACCCAAGCTGGAGTGCAGTGGTGTAATCATGGCTCACCACAACTTCGACCTCCTGGGCTGAGGCAATCCTTCTGCCTCAGCCTCCCAAGTAGCTGGGACTACAGGTGCACTTTACCACGCCTGGCCAATTTTTTGATTTTTCATACCAATGAGGTGTTGCTGTATTGCGTAGGCTGGTCTTAAACTCTTGGGCTCAATCAATTTTCCCTTCTCGGCCTCCCAAAGTGCTGGGATTATAGGCATGAGCCACTGCACCTGGTCTACTTTTCATTTTAAAGGCAATAATATCAGCTAATAAAAATTTCCCAAAAGAGGGGGAAAAAAATCACACATTATCCCATTTGTTTAGCTCAAGTGTTTTCATTGAAGTATATTCCCTTCTAATCTTTGTCCATAGGTAGACATACTTTGTCCATAGGTAGACATACTCTATGCAAGATGCATCAAGTTTGTATGGTGCTATTATTACTTTTCTGTCTATCATGAGCAATTTTCCAGTGACAGTTAAATTTATTGGATGTTCTATAGTCCAATGATCCCAAACCCTATCCTTGGGAAGTGCTGTTGCTGCTGCTTCTTTAATTTTGTTTTGCTGACATAAGTGGTACCATAGTGAACATGCTTTTGCAAATAATATTTTTTTTTGACATACTCCCCAACTTAAAGACCCAATTTGATATTACTGTGCCAAGGGATATATATATAATATACATGTATGTAATTTTATTATATATAAAATTATATGTATAATTTTAATTTGTACAAATTAGTGAAGTGTAAGTGAAAATTGGTTACATGTATATAATGTGTAGTGATCAAGTCAGGGAATTTAGGGTGTGTGTTACCTAGTGCAATGCATTTTTTTGTTAAGTATAGTCATCCTACTCTGCTGTCAAACATTGAATTTATTCCTTCTATATCTAACTGTATGTTTGTACTCACTTCTCTTCATTCTCCCCCTTCCCTCACTTACCCCTACCAGTTTGTTATCTATCTTTCTGCTCTCTTCCTCCCTGTAATCAAATTTTTAGATAAATGTTTGTCTTTGTGCCTGGTTTATTTCAAGATGATGACTTTCAATTCCATCTACGTTGCTGCATATGACATGATTTCATTCTTTTTTATGGCTGAATAGTATTCTGTTATGTATAAATCACATTTTCTTTATCCATTCATCTGTTGATGGACATTTAGGTTGATTCTGTATTTTGCTATTGTTGTGGATGGTGCTTAGGCATGTAGACTAAAAAGTGTTTTTTGAACGCTATTAAGGCTGATCTAACCTTAGTCTAGACTTGTTCCATTCAAGCTACAGGTAGATTCCTTCTTTGGTATTAGCTTCATAAGAAAACTCCTGCTTTGATCTTAGAGTACGTTCCATGTGGTGATGAGCTGAATGTGTATTCTGTGGTCGTTGGGTGGAGTGTTCTGTAGGTATCAATTAAGTCCATTTGGTCAAGAGTCACATTGAGGTTCCAGATCTCATTGCCGATTTTTTGTCCTGATGATCTGTCTAGAGTTGTAAGTGGGGTATTAAAGTCCCCAGCTATGACAGTGTTAGAGTCAATATCTTTTTTGAGTTTACTTAGAAGCTGCTTTATGAAAGTTGGAGCTCCTATGTTGGGTGCATATATGTTTAGGATGGATATTTCTTGTTGTTGGATTGAACCTTTTATCATTATGTAGTGGCCTTCTGTATCTTTTTAAATTTTTGATAGCTTAAAGGGTATTTTGTCTGAGATTAAGATCATGACTCCTCCTTTCTTTTGTGCTCCGTTCACCTGAAAATTTGTTTTCCATCATCTTACTTTGAGTCTGTGAGTGTTCTTTCTAGTGAGATGAATCTCTTGAAGGCAGTACATTGTTGCCTGGTGATATTTTATCCATTTTTCCAGTCTATGTCTTTTTCTTTTTTTTTTGAATTGGAGTCTCACTCTGTTGCCCAGACTGGAGTGCAGTGGCCGCTTCCGGCCATGGCAGCCTCACCTCCTGGGCTCTGGCGATCCTTCCGCCTCTCCTTCCGCCTCAGCCTTCCGAGTAGCCGGAATTACAGGCATGTGCTACCACGCCCGGCTGATTTTTTGATTTATTGTAGAGATGAGGTCTCG